CAAGAGTGATCCTGTCTCAAAAAACAAAGAATGGCTTAATGGCCATTGATAGTTCAAAAAGACAAAAGATAAATGTTAGCTAGGATATTGAGAGAAAAAATAATTGTACTCTGCTAATATGAATGTGAGTAGGTACAGTCCTTATTGGAAAAAGAATTAGGGGTTTTGCTTTGTTGCCCAGGCTGATCTTGAACGCCTGCCCTCAAGCTAGCCTCCTGCCTATGCCTACCAAAGCACTGGGATTACAGGCAGGAGCCACCATGCCTGGCCTATTCCCATTTTATAGGTGGCAAAAGTGGACCCTGAGTTTTTAAAACTTGCCCAAGCCTAGCCTGCCCAGTAAAATTTCAGCCTGCACACTCAACAGAAGGGCAGGACTAACAAAGAAAGCCTGGCCCAGAGTCTATGCTGTCACTACTGTGACACATTTGGCATCACTCCAAGAAAGGGCAGACCTCCTTAGTCCTTCATACCGTGTCCACGTGCATTTCAAATGGGCTGGACAGACAGATCATGCACTGGTGTGGCAGAGCTTCCCCCATCTTTACATCTTCACGCAGTCCTGGAGAGAAGAGACCTTGCGTGCCCGTCAGGTTTATCACAGGGGCACTAACTTACTATCCGCCTGGTTTGCCAGCAAGTTACGGGGAAGATCAAGAAATGTACTTAGGAAAATGCTTCTTTTTAATCAAGTATTTATTGCATTTAATAACAGGACCTCACATAGGAAGCAAGGAAGTGAAAGTGGAAAAAACAGTATGTTACACTTTCTCACATCGTATTTTACTGTGTTTGAATAGGTGAATCATGGAATAGTTTACCTGAAAAAGTGAGAGCTTTTTTAAAATGTAAATATCAATTTCTTGATCATAAAGTAAGGCCTTCTGATACTCCTAAAATGGATAGTGCTAAAGTGTTTAACAAAACGGTAAAAATAAACTCTACTCACCAACAAGAGGTAATAATTATACCACTTTGTGTAGATAACTTGACAGCCTTTTGAAAAATAGCCAAACCAATGGTATGCCAGGTTTTGTAGGATACAAAAAGTGTGGACATTCTGCAATCAGAAGGTCCTGTGCACAAACACAGAAGCACTCATGGTGTCATCCTAGGGGACCGTGGAGTCTGGGAAGCCAGATCGTCCCTGGGAGTCCCCTCAGGTCGGAACGGCCACTTACTGATATACAAGGCACAATGTGCTAGTCTTATTGCGGTTCAGAAACCAATATTATTTTTATGACTTTATGGAGACATTTTTTAAGTTAATGTGTTGCGGGGAGAAGTCTACCTGGAGTGTGGATAAGTTATTAACACATGAAAAGTAAAAATGATAATAGCTAATGCTTACAGCGCTATGTGCCAGCCACTGTTCCTAACTCAGTCCAATGACTAACTCTTGTAATCTACACTATTATTCCCATCTTACAGATGGCAAAAGGGGACTGTGAGTTTAAATAACTTTCCCAAGGCCAGCCTGCACCATAAAATTTAAGCCTGTACGCTTGACAAAAGGGCAGACCTAGGATTCAAAAAAAGGCAGCCTGGCCCAGAGCCTATGCTGTCACCAAGGTGACACTGTCAAGTGGTCAGAAAAGGGCTGTCTGAAGAGGCTGTCCATCAGCTGATACCTGAAGGAAGAATGGACAAGCAGGGGGAACAGCATGTCAGGTATACAGAACAGCACATGCAAAGGCCCTGAGGTGGGAACATGAAGCATGTTTAGGGAACTAAAGAAAGCCATTGTGTGGAGCTGAGGCAGCAGGACCAAGAAGATGACATGAGATGGGGGAGGAAAAAGGCACCAGGTCACGGAAATGAGGAAAATGTGTATGCTGAGTTTAAAGGGACAGTGCTCAGAATTCCACAACCCTAACTCTCTCAGACCCATGTCCTTTCCACTCACCATCACTGTGGCTTAAAACCCTACCCAGGAGACACCCACAGTGGTTACTCCACTGCCAGCTTCAATGAAGCCCTGAGATCTTTCCAAATGAAAAACCTGCTTCCTTCACTCTCCAATGCCTAAACTTCTGGTTGTCACCCCTTGCAGGATTAGGTGTCAATTCTTTAGTGAGGTTTAGAAACTCCTTCAGGGTCTGGCCCTGCCTCCTTTGTCGCCTCAGTGCCTGACACTGTTCTACACCCACACTCGACCCCGGCGCAGACCATTGGAATGCTCTCATACAACCTGCCAATCGGCGAGGAATAAATGTCCCCCATTAATCACTACCATCTTTGCTCATGTTTGTTTATTATTTACTTCCAATGCAGATATTAAAGTACCTTTTTTCCTGAAAGTCAGTAGTGCTTACAGAGCTCTTGTCTTGGCATTCTAAGTAAAATAATCATTATTTTTGGAATCCAGGTTTTAAAACCTATCAACTTGAGTTCACTATGTATATTCCAAACCCCTGGATTTCCAGGATTTCTGTATGTGCTTTAAGTTAATCTTCTGAACTGTTACCATAGGCAATCTAACTACCTGGTGTTACACACCATACAGTTATCCACACAGGCCTTCCACAGTCTTATTCCCAGAAGGGGCACATCTCTTTCCTAGGAGCTCTCTTTTCTTGAAGTGTGTCTTCTTGTCTCTTGAGGTATTCCCCTTTTGAATTGAAAATTCCACCTTGGAGTTTTTCTTTATAATTCTATTTTTTCTTTCCTGTAGTTTTCTACTTGCTTTTTCAGTTTTTCTCTTTCATAACTCAGCCTTCTTTAAATTATTGATTAAAATAAGTAAAATATTTATTTCAAATCCAATTATTGACGTTTTATGAAAACTTTCAGATCCACTAGTAGATTATGAGTACATTAAGAACCTTCAGGGGAATTGTGATAACACTGAATTGTAATCATGAAACAAAAGGGTAACTGTCAGTGAACAGAAAGCTATTCTTGAATCTCAACTGTGATTTTTGAGATTAAATGAACTTTGTAATATAGGAAAAGTACTTCAGAATTCTTAGCTTAGAACTGTCATAATTTTAGCTCAAGAAGATGAAAATGGCCTTCCATATGAATTTTCTTCAAAGTTTATTGAGTGTGCTGTCACTTCTATTTCTCCATCACCAATGGTGAATCTTCAGAAGCCCTTTAATCACCTAGCTTTACTGTTTCATACTGTAAATTAGAAACCTCAGAAAATAAATTTTTCATCCCTGTTGATGATGTGAGTGACTTTGATCTGTAAATAAACTATAAAGCTTTGGATAAAAATCAGTCACTTCCATGAAAAAAATGCCCTAGGATTTCCTTTTCTCCACTGTCCTTTGCTTCAATTCCTGGTAATTTTACAAGGATCTCTTGGATTTCGCCTTCATTTTCATCAAATACAAAATCAAATGTAATCGTTATATAATCATATTAAAATGTAGGCAAATTTAAGAGCATTATCTCTTACTGATCAGTCTCAGTACAAGACACTAAATACAAAGAAAAAGTAATAAGATATAGATTGTTCCCTTAAAAAGATAACAGTAAGATATTGAGGAGCAAACACATAGATGAGGAATTAAAAAGGAAGAAAGTAAAAGGCTTGAAAGTATAATAAATACGGATTAAGTACAGTACCAATGGGTAAAAAAGAAATCTGAGCAGTTAATTTTTATCTTTAAGTTCATTGCTGTCTCTCAGGGATACAGCTGTAGATCTAGGATTGTTTATCACCAGATTAATACAGCAGCATTTCATTTACATTAAAAATTAAAATTACAGGTGTCTATACATTTAAGTCATTCATTTATCCATAATCCATTTTTTAGTTTCTCCTAGAATATATGGAATTAGAATCAATTTGTTAATAGGATGGTTTAGCAAGGCTACAAAATAGCTTCTCTAAGAGTGCTCTATATTTTATTTCCCTCTCTAAACATTTCTTTCAATGGGCTTCTACAATGAGGGTTCCTTTTGATCTCTCCTATTTTCTTTATGCATTTTTCCTATGAGGTAAATAAGCTCTTATCTGATTCTTTGGATGAGCCTACAAAACCTCAACCACATCAATAGCTACCCTTCTGAGAAAATAGTGACACACTGTCCAAAAGAAAACAAGAAGAATATGAAACTGGGGAACAAAGAAAAACATCAAAATTAGTTAATAATCAAATTGCTATTTTTTTATAATTTAAATTTATTATTGAGATAGTAATTCTCTTTTTAAAATGCTTGTAACATGTATTACATACATGAACAGCAGTAAAACACAAAGTAGCATAATTTCTTTAACAAATCAAAAGAAGCTGATTCCTTAAAGTCTTCAAAGAAGATCAAGAGTAAACATTTTGATAAGTTTTATTAGATACAAAGAAGTGTGTGATTTTGTTTTCCTTTGCAACATAGATGCAATGTGCATTGGAGATATTACAGGCAGATAACGCCCAGTGCAACATGCATTGTGGACTCTAGTCTTTCTCCCTATTATTAGGTTAGTGAAAAAGTAATTGAGTTTTTTGCCATTACTTTCCATTCTAATATTCTATCCTATTAGATAGAATTATTTGGGATATTTCTTGGTATAGGATCCATTTAACTCCTTAGAGGAAGTATCCCAAATAAAAGCCTTAGGGAATACTTTATATATCATATTACCATTCTCTGTCAGTAACTTCTGTGTTTTCCTGCTATTTCATCTTTCCTTTCCTATCATACTGACCTACTACCAAGTGATCAGAATGTTAAAATGGTAAAATAATATAATGAATAAAAAGGAGACTTAGGGCCTTCTAACTCCCAAAATATATAAATGTTCATAGATGTTTTGAAGTCTCAGAATTGACCCCAAGGGCTAGCTGATTAAAAGAAGGCTTTCCGCATGAGTCTCATTGTCAGTCACAATAAGGGTCTGATCTCTATCCCAGACTCTCCCAACAGTTGTTGCTATACATGTAAGTTTCTCAAATCTATTGCAGAATGCAGTGACAGGCACACTTTCTCTGGGTTTTAGCAGCAGTTTAATTATTCATCTCTTTTTTAACTATACAAACTTTTAAACTTACCCCAATAGCTGCTAAGATTGGTGCTTGATAAATCCACTTGATGTCTCCAGCACTAAGTTCCCAGCACCTGAGACATTGAAAAAAACTGTCATGAATAAATTGGCAAAGCAAATGGGCAGTGAGAATTAAGTAGGATTTTAAGTTTCACCAAAAACTCCAACCTCATACTTCCAATTAAGAAACAAGCCACGGCCGGACGCAGTGGCTCACTCCTGTAATTCCAGCACTTTGGTAGGCTGAGGTGGGTGGATCACGAGGTCAAGAGATCAAGATCATCCTGGCCAACATGTTGAAACCCTGTCTCTACTAAAAATATAAAAATTAGCTGGGCGTGGTGGGGCACACCTGTAGTCCCAGCTACTCGGGTGGCTGAGGCAGAAGAATCGTTTGAACTGGGGAGGGGGAGGTTGCAGTGAGCCAGGATCGCGCCACTGCACTCCAGCCTGGTGACAGAGTGAGACTCCATCTCAAAAAAAAAAAAAAAGAAAAAAGAAAGAAAAGAAATCTTATCTTAAAACTAGCCAATGGGGAAAAAAACAACAACAACATGTAGCAGGTATTGATTTTCATTATTATCTACCTCTTGCAGATGAGTAACAATTTATAAATATTAGTGAATTACTTTTTTGTTGTTTTGTTTTTGTTTTTTATTTATTTATTTATTTTTTTTAATTTTTCCCCATTTATTTATTTTATTGCATTTTAGGTTTTGGGGTATATGTGAAGAACATGCAGAATTGTTGCATAGGAACACACATGGCAGTGTGATTTGCTGCCTTCTTCCCCATCACCTACATCATGCATTCCTCCCCCTGCTATCTCTCCCCAGCCTCCCACCCCCCACCCTCCCTCCCCTATTTCCCCCCAACTGACCCCAGTGTGTAGTGCTCCCCTCCCTGTGTCCATGTGTTCTCATTGTTCAACAACCGCCTATGAGTGAGAACATGTGGTGTTTGATCTTCTTGTGACGAGAGTTAAAACCATGTTTCTAGAGTTGCAAAAAGTAACAGTCTTCTAAATGTCATACAATTGATACTTCACTTTTACTATTATTGAAATGAGCCATAATAATTTAAATTCATTGATAAAGTTATCTCTCTGAGACATTACAGCAATTCTATTTTACTTCATAAATTGTAGATCCTTACAATAATGCAAGTTATTCTTATCCATAGAAATGCAATAGAAATGAATACAAATTATTCTTGTCTGTAGAAATGAAAATAAGCTGTGATGTTCACTGGAATATAATTGACTAGTATCCTGTGAATATTGAGTGGTTTTTGCATTTATTTGTAAAATTTCTGTATTTATTGTATGTATTTATTTATGTGGTTCTTTAGATTTCTCCTTTGAACCAGTCATAACATCTTAGTAGTTCCCTCATTAATTAATGAGGTTAAAAAATCTAGAGACAGGCAAATCAAAACCACAATGAGATACAGTCTCATACTGTATAGTTAGAATGGCTATTATTAAAAAGTCAAGAAATAACAGATGCTGGCAAGGTTGCAGAGATAAGGGAATCCTTATTCACTGTTGGTGGGAGGGTAAAATAGTTTAACCACTGTGGAAAGCAGTATGGCAATTCCTCAAAGAGCTAAAAGAATTACCATTCAACCCAGCAATCCCAATACTACAATCCCATTCCTGTCTACCTCTGCCCCTACCCCTCTCCTTACAGATAACATCTTTTATTACCTTACTATATATGTTTCCAATGTTTCTTTATGCAAATGCAAACAAACACAAAGCTTATATTCTTACTTTCCTCTATGGTTCAAAAATGTAGTGTATGCACTATTGTGCAATTTGCTTTTTCCTTTTAAAAGTGTATTTTTTATTTCTTTGCATATCTGTACCAATAGAGCTCAGTAGCTCTGCATTCCACTGGGAGAATATACCACAGTCAAATCAACCAGAACCCTACACTAAAGTGTAATTCTTGTCCAGCCAAACTGAAATGCATATATTCAGTGGACTTGAAGTTTGAATAACATGGAAATTTAAGACACAAAAATCTTACACTTGCATATTATTGAACATTTTCTAGCATTATTTACATGCATCTGTTTTTCACATTATTTAACCAGACAAGAAAGATAAAAGACAATATTACGGAGTTATGTAGAATCACACTACCCTAAAAAAGCTTTCTACCATAAGGAAGGTGGCATACATCATGTGACTGTAAATTGAACATTGATTCACTTAGCCAAGATCTAAGCTACAAGGCTTTCGGATTCCATAAATTTTCTTTTCAGTTTTTGACATTTGGTAAAACTTCACAGTCTTTTTTCTTTGCTTCAATGGCAGAATCTCAATGGTGTCTCCTAACACATTGGGATTCAATTATACAATTCAGATTCTATAAAGTGCCTGTATTTGGAAGTAGGTCAAAACAAGCTACATCTAAAAACATAAAAAACTTGTCTTTAATGGTCACTGTCAAAGTTTCAAATTTGCCCTGTGATATAAGAACATAAACTGAGATTTCAAACTTTTTAAAGAAAATGCTATTAATGCTTATTTTTAGTTAATTCTTCAATGTTCCCACTCACACTGCCTTTGTTAACATGGCCAGAAACTACCCTCTGTTCAAATTTTTTCTAATAAATTTTAATCTTCTAGGAAATGCAGCTCTGGATGATGAAGCCTGAGACACAAAGGTCTGACTAGAAAGTAGAACTTCCTACCGCCAGGGCTGGAAATAGGCATGTTGCGCTACCCAACAGATCCAGAGAATTGAATTCACTGAGTACTACATTCTCTCCACAACTTACAACCAGTAAGAGTAGAAGAAGCAAGAGAATCTGACCCCAAAAGCCTGTGCAGATGTTCTAGAAATGTCAGAGGGCTTCTTGGTCCTTTCCTTTGCAGCTCCCACCTTTGCTGCTGGATGGTGAAACAAAAATATAGCAAAGAAGTGATGGGTTTCTTCTCTCATTGGCATCTCTTGTCTCCTTTGGTAATGAGGCAAAGAGAAGATAATAAGGTATCCTATAAGGTGTTTTTGCTTTTGTAAGTAAAAAGAAAGAGCACAAAATTGCTCACTTTTTAATTTAATTTGCACAACCTAAATTACTCCATTATCTTAGCTGACCTTAGTAAAATAACACTCTTTTTTTTAAGACAGTCTCCCTCTGTTGCCTAGGCTGTAGTGCAGTAACACAATCTTGGCTCACTATAGCCTCCACTTGCCAGGTTCAAGCAAATTTCCTGCTTCAGCCTCCCAAGTAGCTGGAATTAGAGGCATGCACCACCATGCCCAGCTAATTCTTTTGCATCTCACTATATTGGCCAAGCTGGTCTTGAACCCCTGGCCTCAAGCAATCAGCCCACTTTGACCTCCCAAAGAGCTGGAATTATAGGCTTAGCCACAACGCTCAGCCTAAATAACACTAGATAGAATTTTAGATCTTAAAAAGACTTCTTTTGTATATCAATAGAGTTTAGGGTATCTTTTAAAACTGGGTCTGATATGCTTACCTCTAAATGGCCAAGATGCAGAGAAAACCAGAGAGTTAGCTTTGAAAGGCCATATTAGAAAACAGTGAGTCTCAAATGTAGACATGAATATGGACCCCATCCATCCTTTGAAGGTATTTAAATTCTGATCTCTTCCCTGAATGTTGTCACATGGCACTATATATAGGTCAGAGAACAACCAAGAAAACCCACAAAAGCTTTATCTGTAGAAAAGCTGAATTATGAGAAATTGAATCAGGTGATTTTGAAATTATCTCACATAAGTAGTAATACAGTTTATGTTTATAGGCAAAATTAAATACAAAATGACCCTTCATCTAATTATCCCATATTTGGGCATTGTAGAATTCAAGATTTTATTCTGAGTAAGCTAGGAAGAAAGTGAAATCTTTTACACAGTACTCACATGATCTAACTAATTGAATGAATGAACCAAATTCTGCTTCAGTCTAGCTTTAAGCCTTGAGAATGTGTCCTGATGTCTCTGGGTCACATTTGCTTATCTCTAATGCAAGAGGATTGGACCAGAAAATGCCTTAGGTCCTATTATCTCTAAAATTCTGAATCTAGGTCATATCTCAGAATCTGATCATGATCTCATTAATTAGTACCTCTTCACTAATGCAACTTCCCTTCCATGAAAATCAAATAGCAGGTGTTGCAAGTTTTCTTTGAGATTTCCAATCTCACTGTGTATATATAGCAATAATCATAACAATGTAGATAACATCAACCCTCAATTATTAACAAATTCAAATAGCATAAAGGGATCAAAGCAAGAAAAAATGCAAAGCCAACAAGTTTTGGAACTGAGGGAAACTGATGAATGGGGAGCTTTGAAGCAAGTAGGAGGAAGGCTGCACCTAAAGACACTGACTCTGTACAGTTCCAATTTTCACGAACAGTGAGTGACAGGTTCTTTATAGAGTTAGGTGTTCACGTCATGTGGTTTTTTCTTCAGTGCATAGCAGACAAAATAATTCCTGAAGGAAATATCTAGTAACACAAAACAATATATTGGCTTAAAGAAAGTTTCCCAGGAGATAACAAAAAAAAGGAACTACTATCACAAAGTATACACAATCTGTGGATATTAAATTGTACTCTGTTAACATAAAAGAAAGTTTGGCATTACTGCATATGTAAGTTAAAGCTGCCTCTCTTTAAATTACCTTTTATTTATCATAAGTGTATTAATCTGCTTGATGTGGGATAGCAAAATACCACAGGCTGGTGCCATAGCAAAATACCACAGGCTGGGTGGCTTAAACAATAGACATTTATTTTCTCAGTCTGGAGACTGTAAATTTGAGGTCAGGATGCCAGCATGGTCCATTTCCAGTGAGACCTCTCTTCTTGGCTTGTAAGCAGCTTCCACCTCACTGTATGCCCACATGGCCTCTTCTTTGTGAGCACAAAGAGAAAGGGAGAGCCAGCCCCTCTGGCATCTCTTCTTATAAGGACACTAATACTTTCAGATCAGGGCCCCACTCTTATGATCTCCTTAACCTTAATTAGCTCCATGCAGACCCTATCTCCAAATACAGATACAATGGGGGCCAGGGCTTCAACATATGAAATTTGGGAGACACAATTCAGTCCACAGCAGTAAGCTTAACCATGAGAGCAAAGCGCAAGTACCTGAAGGCTTTTCTGCCTTTTCCTTTTCTTTCTTTGACTTATCATTATTTAAAATAGAAATAACACCAAAAAATTGAATGTTTTCAAGTTCATTCATCATATAGTCCCTCAAGAGAAACACAGACAACTGGGGGGCTCTGGCCAAAATCCATTTGAGCCAACTGAAAGTCTTTACCAGGCAGCCTCCCTGCAGTCAGCCATGGAGGCACTTGGGACAGATGGAAGTAAAGGGTGACTGACAAGCTGTCAGGCACTTACAAGGAATGGCAGGAGATGGCTGTCAAGATTTTTTTTCTAGTTATATATAATGATCGAGGCTTAAAAGTTACTGGTTCTTTACCCACATTGAAGGTAATATTTATTGTTTGTCTAAAACTTGGAGTTTACAAAGTCCTTTCATAATGGGCTCTCATCTAATTTTCAGATCTAACCCCTGCAAACTCACAGCATTAGTCATGGCCAAGAATATTATTCTCATTTACAGATGGAAGATTGAGGCTGAGAATAACTGCTGCAAGTCATAAATGAAAGAAAAACCACAACTCCTTATAATTCACAACTTGCATTAACTCAAACTTTATAATTGCTTAATGGATACTGAGCAAATGGGGAAAAAATGGCCAGCCGTATTCACAAGAATTGATCAGCACGCTTCAAAGAGTTATCTACTGTCAAAGAGGCAATTTCATTTATGCCCATTTAAAACTCATGATTTGTTGGAAAAATGAGACAGTTACACTTGCACATTAAGAGAAATAAGATGGTAGATAAGAAAGGAATAATTATATAATATGCATACTAAATGCTGCAGGAGTTTGATAAGGAAGATTTATATGGTGGAATAGTAGATTTCAAACACACTAACAAGGTAGAGAATTTGTAGTAATGGTTTTTACCATGAAATGCAGATATGTTTAATTTTATCATTTAATACCATGAAATGCAGATATATTTAATTTTATCATGTGAATGAGAAAAACATGCCAGTAGACAACCCTGAATGTATACATGCAATACAAATTCACAGGCATGAGTTCATATGACAACAAAAAATGGGAATTGTTGAAAAGTCCATGGTAGGTAATAACCTATTTCTGATTCAGAGAACAGAAAGAACTAGAAGTGGAAAAAAAAAAAAAAGACAAAAGGCTAGACATAGTGAAGATAAGAAAAACATCTGTTTAGTGTACTCTGGACATTTTCCACTGTTCACTCTTGATTACCAGATGTGTTAAATAAACGGAAGAGTGAGAAGCTATCAGTGATATTGTAAAAAGAATCCCTCTACAACTCTACTCCTCCACATATAATAAAATTCCACTTATCTCAATAGAAACATCTCATCTGCCTATAAGTATTTTCTGAATGCCTCTAGAGCCTGAATGTCTGAGATCAAAGTCCTTTTCTACCAGTCATGCAACCTTGGACACCACTTCTCTGACCTCAGTGTCATAGAGTTGATGATGAGTTTTGATTAACTTAATATTTGCAAAATTATAAAGTATCTGGAAGGTGGTCAGCACTCAGAAATGCCAGCAACTGTTTTTATTATTACATTCTTCCAACATCGGGTATTATTACCCTATGTTCTGGTGATGATCTTTACAAAGTGCAAATTCGCTGTACTATCACTGAACAAAGGCCAAACATCCTAATCTGGCCTAGGAGGGTCTATAAGGCCTCCACCCCTCATCTTTTCTACAGCCTAATTCATAAGCTCTAGCTTCAGCCAAATCCGGTTTCCATCAGCTTGACAGGATCAAATTCCAAATATTGTAGGCTAGGATTAATAAAAGGATGAGTTCAGCTTTCTAATGAAATAACAATATACAAAAATGCTATTTTTTAATTTTTTTAACTAGACATTACCTATGAGTACAGATTAATAAAGCAAAAGAGTAATACTTGCTAATGAGTATTTAGCACTTACTACCAGCATATTCCAAACTTTGCAGTAAGTATTTTACACACACTATCTCATCTATTCTTACAACAACTCTGTAAAGAGTAGTATTCATTTTATCTGCATTTGACAGCTGAGAAAACTGAGGCCCAGGGAGGTTACACTGTACATCTGCTGTTCCAGAACCAAGAAGTAGCAGAACAAGCCTATAAGGCACCTGTATCTGAGCTTCTTCTCAGCACACTCCCATTTAGCACCAGGCACTATGCTAAGTGTTAATAATAATGTATTAATGCCATTTATACATTATTATCTCTGTTTTATACACGAGAAGCTGATATACAAAGAGAATATGTGTTTTGGGTCCCGTGGTCCCAAAACTAGCAGCAGTTATATCAAGATTTGAACTCAGGTCTGTCAAAATATAAAGAAAGGGTTCATTACCATGTAATGCAAAGGTATCCTTTACATTTAAATGGTTCCTTGAATGTATTAGGTGAATCATGATACATTAAAATGCATCCTTAAAATGATACATTTTAAATGATTTACAGAATTGTTGCCCTGCACTTTAAAATGATACATTAAATTGGCCTCATTCTACCTAGAAGAACTTAACGACTCACAGAGATAAATTCCACTTCTAATGTATGTTTGTTTTATTATTTTAAAATACTTCTGCTATAGAAGATAGGAAAAGAAATGGAATGCATGAAACCCACCATTTGCATTAAGTATAGATAAGTGATGAGTAAGTAGTAACACAGATACTAAAGATATATGAGGCAAATGGGCTCTAAACATTCACGATATACTAAAGATACAAGAGCTATAAACAATCCCTGATACACAGGAAGTTCTTAACACTTTTGAGGGCATTATCAGCCACTGATTGATGGAACTCCTTCCCACATGTCCTTTTCCCAAGGGCCACAAATAAAACCCAGAACTTCTCCGCAGGCTAATTAGGAAACTACAATTGCCCCTCAATCTCTATGAGGGAGTAAGTATGTGTCACTGGCCCAGGGCACCAAATTCTGTCTGTCATTACCCTTCCTGCCACCTTATCCCTGGTCCTCATAACCACACCATCAACAGGGAAAGTTGATGTGGCAGAGAAAGAGAGGAAGTATGAACGTTGCCTACCCTGGAAATCAGGTAGTGTGGTTCTTCAACCCGCTTGCACTAAATCCTAAATTGATTCTCTTATCCATCTCGTTCCACTTGCTTCTCACATTATATTTTAAATTTATTTCATAATCTATGGAGTTCAGTCACCTTCATCTAGTCTCTGAGCGTTTCTGCTCTATGACCTCTGGAATAGACAGCTTACTGGTAATGTATCAGAAGCTATCATTGCATCAAAGTAATTATCCTTGTGCATCCCTAAAGAGCAATGGCATCAAGAACAGCAGCAAGTGTGAATTCCGAGCCTGCATCTTGAGAACATCTTTGGCTCTCTTTTCCTCTTCTTTTTCACTCACCTTGCATCAGCCAGGGTTGCTCGTGCCACAGCCCATGCTGCAACAAATGCTGCTGGAAACCCTGCAATCAGAAAATGATTCAGAGACTAGATTTATTTTAAGATTAAAGGGTTTCTTCCTCAAATTCACCATACATAGGAATATACTATTAGCAGTTGAGAGAGAAAAACAGACATAAAAAATGCTGGTATGTGAACAAGAAAAGTCCACTAAATTTCAATCATGTCAGTTTGAGAAATTAGCAAGAATATTGATGTTATTTTTTCCTCTAGTCTGAAGATAAAAACTGGCCTAATTTTTATTTGAGGGGTATAGGAAAAAGCCATATTTGGAGAAGACTGAGGTTCCTAGGGTCAGAAGTAGGCGACTGTTGGCGCATTTGACTTTGACTCATGCCACACTGACCGTCATATACTCCCAAAGAGTGAAGCAACAACAGGGACTCCTGAGAAGCTGAGGGATGCTGTTGCTTTAAAAACTTAGAACTTTTTCATCCTCAAAGTCGAAGGCATACAGAGGCAAGATATAAAAATCGGGTAGTTTTAACCAGGTTAGTCTCTTCGTTCTTTTAGTTCATAACGGCACAAGATAGAAGCATTTTCATGCATTAATAGGAAAGGGTGACCACTACATTCGTCTGATGATTTGAGCACAAGATATTTGTCCTTCAAAAATGCTAAACACCTTCTGAACTTGCAACATCAAATCCATTATACTGACTTTCTTTTGCCCCCTAGTAAAAGTTCACGGTCCAGTTCATATTGTAGCTGATTAAACTCTGACATCACACAAAAATTCAGGAACCATAGCTTTTATGAAACCCTGCAGTAGGGGACTGAAAGACTTAAGAGATGACTTTTCATTACATGGCCTTTATGAAAGAGGTTTAAATAAAGGATACACAGAAACCATAAGGAAAACATTTTAGAGTCTAGGAAGCACCTTACAAAAAGAGAAAAAAGCATTTTGATCTAGCCAAGAACATTTTTTATCAAGCACAATTTTAAATTCTTTACCTTTTAAAAAACACATTTGTAATTTTTTTAGATATTCTTTCTTAGCAACAAAATGAACAAAGGAATAGGCTTAGAAAAAGACAATTTTCAGAAAAAGATGAAAATAATGACATGCACAATAACGTCTTTGTTCTCCTTGGTAACCATCTAACTCACCAAATTTAAGTTCAGCCTGCCTATATGACTACTGAATTGTATGATTCTATATTCCAATTTTATTTCTTGTTCTATAGTATTCTTTTTTTAATCTGCTCAAATTCTGTGCTCTAGGAAATTTTTGTCAAAATAGATCTACCTAATTCTGGTTATTTCTTAGGTTCAGTTTGCATATTCTATCTATCTATCCATCATCTATCTATCTATCTATCTGTCTATCTGTCTGTATTTATCTATCTCTATTCATCAATCCAGTCATTTCTCTAGTCATTTATTAACTGCCTATTTATTTGTCAAAGATTGTTCTAAATGACATAAATAATGAACAAATAAACAATATCCCTGTTTTCTAAAACTTATATTCTAGTGAAGAAGTCAAAATTCATGAAGCAACTTTAGTTGCTTTAGTTGCTTTTAGTTATGAGTTGGTGCTATGAAGAATAAATAAAAGTGATACTATGTAATGGGAAGGGGACAGTTGCTTCTAGTGGGATGGTTAGATATAAATCCTACCACACAGCCTGGCATAGATCCTACCATAAAGCCAGACATAGATCCCTCAGCTATTCTATCTTGGTTATCTTCAAAAAGTGTCTGCCTATCTTTCATCAGTTTTCACATTTTATCATTTTTAGATCTGCAGCTTCTGTTTCCTTTATAGTCTTCTGATCAGGTACTTCCTGAATGCTGTTCTATGCAATATTTATTAATGGTGCTTGAGTTTACATTATGTTTTATATGACAATTATATCAAATATCATACATAAGCACTATGTGTTCATGAAATTGCTTTCCTCATCTTCTTAGAGAATCTTATGCATAAGACTAGCACAGAGACTACCAAAGAAAAATAAAGAACAGAAAAACACTTTGGGATCCTTTAAGGATTTTTGATCACCTTAAAGAAAAAGATGAAAATAATGACATGCACATATTAAGACTAATATGACATTGTTACATAATTTAGAACACAGGAATAAAAGCAAAAATACTTGACATGTAAATATTATTTTAAATTTAAATGTTAAAGTAAGTAAACAATATAAATTTAAATGTTATCCAACATATGCATTTACTGAAAGTTGAATTATTTTCATAAGACATGTCAATACCACATAAATAAGTTTTGTGAAGACAGGTTTTATAAATTTAAAATGTTGAATATAATACATATGGTCACAACAAGAAAACAAACAAAAAAATAACCTAAAGGGTCAGAGTGCATGCATCTTGTGTGGGAGGCTTTAACACATGTCTCTGTGTTTAAACACTTACTGCCAAATGGATGACCAAAAAGTATTTGCTGGATTAAGATATTTTACAAAGGGAATAAAACAGGAGTGTGGGACCTTCTCCTGATTATTTTCGGGAACACATTATATGAAAATATCCTATGTAAAAGCTTGGCAACAGGGAAATGACTACATGGTATTACTAGGATGGGTACTTTTGTATGATGATATGTATATACTGGTGTTCCATCTGACAGTTGAAAATTAAGGATGGCTGCCAATATAGAAGTAAATTACCATATTGAGTAAAAATTAAAAAAGAAGACATATCTTTTACATATAGAATTAAAATAGAGGAAAATGTGTAGTTGAAATAAAATGGAACTAAGAATAAAGCATCTTATTTATAAAACTGAGGCAAGGATTGGGGAAAATTAACAATGTGCTTGGTTGAAAGAAAACAGTTATCACTAGTATTCACCTTTACTTCTCTATAAATCTGGTTTTATAATAAAAAAATGTACAGTTATTTTAAATATTTGCCTTCAATTTAGTAAAGGTCAGATATGACACCTATTCTTCTTCAGACTGTCATTTCCTTTCCTCCCAATTTATTCTTAAGAATCATCACAATCAGATTGTGCACAGTCACTCACACCTGTAATCCCAGCACTTTGGGAAGCCAAGGCAGCAGGATCACTTGAGGCCAGGGGTTCAAAACCAGCCTGGGCAACATTGCAAGACCACATCTCTAATAAATAATAATAAATAAAATAACAAAATATTTAAAAGAAAAGAATCATCACGATCAATGTAATTATAACTCCACACATCACTACAATGTGACTAACAGTGTTCTGAGTATTTACCTAGCTAAAAAGAGCTTAAAGTTCTAACATTTGGGTCCAAATGAGAAACAAAGGAATTTAAGCAAGTTCTATGCTCTAATGAAGCCAGTAAATAACATCATTGGAAGTAAGTATAAAATTGGACTCACTCTCAATTATTCTAGCAAAGTATCCTGCAAAGCATATATAATGTTTTTGATAATTCAGAAAATGAATTTGGAAAAATGAGTCAGATATATAAATAATATTTTTAAATCAGTCTCTCAGTGTTGAGATAAGAAAAAGACAATCCATAAATCAAACAGATTTTGATACATACTTCATTCAATGATAGCTGTGTCTTAGGAGCAGAGAAAGAATCTCAAAGGAATACTACTATTATTTTCATTATATATGCCCTAGACTAGAGTATTTCTTTCAAAAAATGGAAATGCAAAGAGAGAGTCAGAAGATAGACCAGCCATAGAACCGTAATCCCATAAAGAATAGTTATTACTGTTTTGACTTGTGGCTAAGTGAGCAAAATGTGGCATGTAAAATGGTTTCACAGAGAGTTTCCATGAAAACTCTACTTGCTTTTATGTATGTTCTTAAACTATTTCACGAAATGAAGATTTCTATTGTAGTTGTCTTCTCTATGCCAAAACTTTTGTGGACAAATTAATAAAAGCTGTAAAAGAAGGTAAGAAACTATACTTGCATAGAAGCTCACTGGCACCTTAGCTTTTCTTTAAATTGTCTTTTTCATAGAAAGATTTGTGCTTTCTGAGATCCAGTGGGACAAACTCCTTACTGTAAGGACAGAGAGACTGAGTAATAAAGCCCAAATAAAGAGTTGATAAGAAAGCTTGCACCAGGTAACTATCAAGACATAACTAAAGAGAAGAAAAAGAATTTATCACAAATGTGAGCAATAATAAGGAAATGTGAAAAATAAAATATAACCCAAATAAACAAATGTCTAAATTCATTATTGAATTTTCTATCAACACCTTTTCCAACTCCTAATAATTATGTGGGAACACAGTTATAATTTTGATTTGAAGGAAGGCAAACTACCAAAAACTGTCAAGAAAATTTCCAAGGATTCTAAAAAAGCAAAATACATATTTTTTATTTTCAGTAACTGCTAATCAAAGAGATAAGGAAGAGCCTTAAAATAGATGAGCTGTCTAAAAAAATAAAACTTTAATTGTGATGATTATTTCATAATAAGAGTAACATTGATTTTTTTCTTCTTAAAGGTTGTTAATTAGCTAGCAGAAAGTTCAGCATTCCTTACTTCACATTTCAATTATTAAGAAAAAAATTAAGACAAAATAGGCAAAGGAATATTCTTATTTTGGAGAGAAAAAAACCCTTTAAATTTAGTCTTGAGCTACTTAGTGATTTTTTTTTCCTATGCTGAGCACCTCGTAATTTAAATATTAAAATAGCAATTGAGATTTGCAACTGCTAATCTCCAACCTCTTCTCAATTTTAACCAATGTGAGTTTTAATTTTCCTTAATTTTTAACAAGCAATTTCTTGTCTCCATGTCATGTTGAGTCAGGGCCTAATCCAGTAATCCCCCTTGTACTGCTAAGTCATTTATGGAATGAGAGCTGAATACTTTTCCTTGTAAAGAATATGGTAAGTCCATATAATTAGTTTGTAATTTGTATTTGTTAAATACAGTCAGGATGGTCCTACAAATTCATTCCTAGTATTCTCATTGTATGACCTAGAAATGCAAATCAAAAATATGATTACAGCTTAGAAACTTAAAAATAAAAATTTTAAGAAGAAATTATTGATAAAGCAGAATACTGACATTTAGTTGTAGATGTATATGGCTTAAAATGAGTTCTCTTTTATTTCCTCGAAAGAATCCTCTCAAAAATCTGGCCTAAGATCACTAACCATAAATAACTTTAAAAGTTCTTCACCACTGAGAGAATTATAGACTTGATATTAATTATTTTTGTCTAAGAATAGAACAATAAAAGAAAGGGAGACAAAAATAAGAAGGGAAGGACTGTTTCTGATTGTAGGGATGTGAATGATGGGCATGACAGAACATCATCAAATCCATCATCCAATTTGAAAGGAACAAAGATATAAATGCCTTACCCCAGCCTATCAAGATGAAGCCCCACAGGTACTTGGTGTCCGAAAAGAAAGCCACAAAGATTAGACTATGCAGGTAGAGACCTTCCACCAGGATCCAGTAATAGTTTGTAGCCAAGAAGTAAATAAACATCACAACAGCAATCTTGCACCCAATCTGTTACAAATAAACCAGAATTGCATCATATTAGAACTCTTTGATGTACTGGATGCCAACAATGAGATCACTAAAAAACAAGTCTTCAGTTTCTTTTTCAGGCTAATATGTCTCCTGTACAAAGGAAAGTCAAAACTGTTGAGGGGCCGAAACAGTTATTTTGGTGCAGCATTTTTCTTTTTTTTTTTTTTTTTTTTTTTTTTTTTTTTTTTTTTTTTTTTTTTTTTTTTATTGCACTTTAGGTTTTGGGGATGCAGCATTTTTCAAGACTATGAACTTGATTCTACTTTTAAAATAAGTTTTTCTTTAAGAAGTTACCAAAAAAATTACTTTTCTCAGTTTTTTCTTTTTATAAAAATCATGCACAACCCTCACAGAAAATTAGGAACATATAGAAAAGCATAAAGAAGAAAATATTATCCATATTTCTAGCTTGAATTTATTTTATTTTGGTCTTTTTATGTTACTACTCCTGCAAAACAAGCTGTTCCCCAAAGTTAGTGACTTATGACAATAAACATTTAATATGTCTTATAAATCTGTTTATTGGCTGGGTAGTTCTGCTGATCTGGGCTAGGCTTGTCTCAGCTAGGCTCACTCATTAGACGTCTACTCTCAACTGGTACACTATCACTTCCACTTCCTTCTGTTAGGGAAAACAAGTCACAGTGCCAGCCCAGAATTGGGATCAGTGGGGACTATAAAGTTGCAGGGCAAAGGCACAGATCCAGACAGGGTATTATTTCACACTACCAAGATAATCAATCTACTATGCCTAATTTCAGATATATTGTTTCAATGATCTAATGGAGTGAATTATTGGGTGAATATATTTTCTACCACCAGTACAATTCAAGAGCAGAATCAAGTAACATAAATTTTATATATAAGTCTTTGGAAATTGAATAAAGGGACTAAATATCATGGGCTTTTAAGTTGCAAGCTTCTGGTTTTGCTGATGGGTTTTTTACTTTCTAAAGTGGGGAGCCACGACAGTTGCTGTGGTGCATACACCAAATACCATTCAAATCTTGTGTATTTTGCAATTTCCATTCCAGAATGTTCTTGAGGGAAAAACCCAAGAACTTTTAATAAAATGTTGATTGATTAGACATGAAAGGACAGAATTGAGGGAGAAAACATCACTATACAAATTGATAATCCATTTTGGATTTACCAGCAGATAAGATAAGCAAAAACAAGGAATCATAAGTTTAGCAGACTATAAAATTGTACCTATTTGTAATGTTAGACAAATTAGTAATGAGAGAAAAAGGTAAAAACACTTACAAATTGTGATTTGTCCACAGAAGTTGCTTCAATGGACTTTTGTGGGTCATCCTGCATTATTAGGGACTCCAGCTCCTTTACCCCTATGTGAGCGTGGACTACTCTGTCTTTGACAAAGATGCTTGTAGCTCTCAGCATGAAAGACACAAATAAGTGCATATGGATATAGTTCCTGGTGCAATGCAATCGTCTATGGAGAGAAATATTCAGTATTTAAATTTGGATAAAATCAAAAATGGGGGAAAACACCCAGGGTGACTGCTGCCACCACCAGTCTGCCTGCTCCCTTCCAGCAGGGACTGGTTCAAGACTCCACACAAATTCCCAAATCTGCAGATACTCACGTCCCTTATATGATATAGTGTAGTATTTGCATATAAACTATGCACATCATTTTGTTACTTTATATCATCTCTAGATTACTTATAATACCAAATACAATGTGAATGCTATGTAAGTACATGTTATACTGTATTATTTAGAGAAAAATGAAAAAAAATTAAGTATGTAAATGTTCAGTACAAACATAATCAAACTTTTTTCCTCAGTATTTTCCATCCACAGTCTGTTGAATCTGAGGATGTGAAATCCCGTATATAGAGGGCCAACTGAATTGGTGCTCAGAATTTTATAATGATTTAGATTAAGCTGAATGGAATTGGACACATGTTAAAGTGGATAAAAAAATAAACCATAACAAAAGTAATAAATACTGTTTCTTTATGTACTGATATCTGATAATTTTGGGAATTAATTAAGATGAACTTTTGTCCAATGGCACCAAAATCACTTGGGAACTCATTCAACTTGATGCTGTTCCACTTTGCAACAAATATACTGCAAAACATGCTTATTGGTTTAGAGGTTTAATACTACTTTGATGCTTTAAGTTTTTAAACAAAGAACTCTGAATTTGTCATGTAAAATTAATTGTCAAATAATATAATAACATTAGGCTGAATTCAAAACCATGCATTTGAGGAAAATATTATGAGACCTCTATGTCTTCTCTGACGAGGAAACAGAATGTGTCCCTTCACGGAGAAAGTGATGGGCATCACTCACCTGAAGTAACCAATAATGAGAATAGCCACAGCCAAGGAACCAAAAGAGATGGAGTAGCCAATAGTGTACATTACATACAGGCGTTCAAAGAATTCTTGCTGGAAGGGAAGAGATACTCATGTATGATATGGGACTATTTTACAAATAAACTGGAAAAGAAATACTATGTTATTTTTGGAATATTATTTCTAATCCTCTTTAACTTTTTTGAGCTGTAATTTGCATGCAATAAAATGTAGAGATCTGGAGTGAGCATTTTGATAGGTTTTGACAAACCAAGTTCATTTGTGCCCCTTGCTAGCCAAAAAAAAAAAAAAAACACCCATCATCCACCCCCAGAAAACCACTGTTCTAATATCTGTCACCACAAATTAGCTTTCTCTGTTCACATACTTCATATACTTCTTGACTATTCTTAGACTTCTTTTTTTATTCTTTATTTTTTGAGACAGAGTTTTGCTCTTGTTACCCAGGCTGAAGTGCAATGGCGTGATCTCGGCTCACCACAACCTCTGCCTCCTGGGTTCTGGCAATTCTCCTGCCTCAGCCTCCTGAGTAGCTGGGATTACAGGCACGTGCCACCATGCCCAGCTGATTTTTTGTATTTTTAGTAGAAACGGGGTTTCACATGTTGACCAGGATGGTCTCAATCTCTTGACCTCATGATCCACCCACCTCGGCCTCCCAAAGTGCTGGGATTACAGGCGTGAGCCACCGCGCCCAGCCCTCTTAGACTTCTTAGAATTACATAAAACAGCTTATACTCTTTTTGTCAACATACTCTTTTTTATATTCATCAATATTGTCACATGTATAAATGGTTCATTCCTTTTCAATTATTTTATTTTAAAATAATTATAGATTAAAAAGTAGAAAATATTGTAAGAAAGCCCAGGTTCCCTTCACCCAATATTATCTAAAGCTTATATCTTACACAATTATACTAAAACATCAAAAACAGAAATTTAGCCTTGATGCAATGTGCATATTTATAGTTCTATGTCATTTTATCATATGTACATTTTTGTAACCATTACTGTAATCAAGTACAGAACAATTTCCCCATCACAAAGTTCTCCCTTGTTCTGCCTGTTTATTGTGACACCTCTTCCTCTCCACCATCCTAAACACCTGACAACCCTTAATCTGTTTTCCATCTCTATAATTTTGTCATTTCATAAATGTCACATAAGAATTATACAGTATGTGACCTTTTAAGATTGGACAATGGTATAGAAATGTGACTGAACAAAAAAGGATATGATCTAATACTAATAGAGTAAATGGGGAACCCAGCAAGGATTTTCCATGTTTCAATCAGGCCAGCCCAATGAAGTCTCCATAAAAGGGGCAAGAAAATGGGATATGGAGAGCTGCTAGACAGCTGAACTTATGGAGGCTTACAGGAAGGTGAACAAGAACTCATCCATCTACCAGAAGGCAGGTGCACCCCAACTCCACCAGAACAGAAGCTCCTTCACTTCAGACTCTTCCAGACTTCACCCTGTATGTCTCTTTACCTGGCTGCTTATTTGTATCCTTTAAAATATCCTTTATAATAATATATAGTAAACGTAAGTGTTTCCCTGAGTTTTGTGAGCTCCTCTAGCAAATTAATCAAGCTTAAAGAAGGGTTCGTGGGAACCCCAACTTGAAGGTGGCTAGTCAGAAGTTCCAGAGGCCTGGACTTGCGATTGGTCGCTGCCTTACACTCAGTGAGAACTGTGCATCTTTAGAGGATTTCTCTCAGCTTCCCTGCCCTTCTCCTGGCCTGTGGGCTGCATCAGTCATGCAATTAGTGAGGGCCCTATATGCCTCAAAGGATGCTTCTCAGCTCCTCTGTCCTGATCCATGGCTTCAGCCAACTGCTGCCTTTCACTGTGAGAGCCCTACACACAACTCAAGGGATTTCTCTGAGCCCTCTGCTTGCCCCAGCCTTTGGCATACTTCCTCCATGCACCTGGTGAAGTTCCCATAGTAAAGAATTACCAGGTGGATCATAGCTCACTGAGGCTAGGGCTTACTCCTTGGGATTCTAAGCCCTTATGTCAGCCCTTGTCTGCTAAAAGTTGATGTAAAAGCTTGTCTCTTTTCTCTTTATCCCCTTCAATGGCCTGGTGTCTCCTCTTCTACTGTGGTCCTAAGGACACACACAGCCATGGGTCTCTTCTGTCATAGGAAGGACTTGCCATTTCTGGAATTTAGTTCATTTAGATTTCTTGGCATCCTCAACTAATTTTTACATATTATTGATTTTCCATCTTACCCAACTTATTCTTGTTGCAACTGCCTACAATATGACTGGAAGCAGAAGACTTTTGTTATTTTTTAAAATATATTGTTTACTAATTGTTTTCTCCTAATATGACAGTAAAACATTTTATAGAAAATATTTGAATAGTGTTTAAAATATAAAAGAGAGGAGGGAAAAAAATCTTACAAATTCTAACTAATCAGAAAAAAACACTGTTTGTTAGTACTTAATGTACTTCACATATTTCTTGAAGTCATTGTTGTTATTATTTTAACAGATGGCATCTCCCTATGTTGCCCAGGCTGATCTTGAACTCTTGGTTCAAGAGATCCTCCCATCCTAGCCTCCCAAGTAGCTGCAACTACAGACAGAGGCCACCATGTCCAGCTAGCACTTCATGTATTTCTTTTCATTCCATTTCTGTAAAGCATTGCCTGTTATTTTATGCATCTGCATTCTCAATTTATATACAAGTTTATTCCTGAATTTTTTTGGGTGACAAAATAATTGCTCAAGGCTGCAAACTCTTCATAAAATTTATATACATATATCTGAGCTTATTTAACCAGTCTTTATTAGAAATTTAAACTCGTTGAAATATTCACTATAATAATTTGTTCAATGAATATTTTTTCCCATTCAGTTCCCCCATTCTAAATCCTTATGCTTGATTTTAGAAGTAAATTTATAAAATCAAAGAATATGATCCCTTTGAAGTTTTTAAATATACACTGCTAAATTGCTTTCCAAAAGTACATCTAGCCTTTGGACAGCAGATGTATTATGTGGTAGTTTCTATAGTATGCTACTGTTTTAAATATCACACTCTAAAAAAATTTAATAATCTTGTGACATATCAGTAGAATTTCTTCCCTTTTTTTTTTAACTAAAATCATTACCTCATTTTGCTAAGCTAATTATATAAAAATTTAGAGAAAAAGGTGCTCAAAAATATCTTAGTCTTGTTTTCTCAATAAAAATGTGGCATTTATTCTAAATGTATGCTTTTTTAGTTTTTTTGCTTTTCCTTCCTTATAAAAAAACTTTATTAAATATTAACAATTTATATCTCATAAATAAGTAATATCATTTTGCCTTACATTGTGTCAAAACTTCAGGATATATCTAGTTTTCTTATTAAAGATATTTTGTTTTCTTGGGTTTTCCCAAATTATTACTTAAAGGTTGCAAACAATAGAAAATGTTCTTGGTGTTTTTAATTAAGGAGATAAAATTAAATTATTTTAACACAATTCTTCAAATTTTCTATTAACTTTTAAATCATTGTACATAAACTAGTGCATATCTTAAGTATGGCCACCAACCATCTTTAGTTATTTTTATTCTTAAAATACACAGTAATCACAGAAAATGGTTATAAGATTAGAGTTCAGTATAAATTAAACCATGGTTTAATTTAATGGCCACTTAATAGTTCTGAAAGGTTTGCATTTTACATCACATAATGCAAAAATAAAGATAACCACAGAGTACACTATTAGTGAATATTTATTTCTATCAATGAGATTGAAATTATTTTGAAGCATTTTATCTAAACTGAATGCTGATATTAGTTCCACTGTAGAGTACCTAACAATCTCCTCATCTTGACTTATTTTATCTAAGAAGCTTTTCAACAATTAAATGTAAAACCGAAAGTCTTTCAACCAATTCCTAAAGAGCTCATTAAGGTAGAAAGTTAAGAAAGGAAGTTCTATTAATGCAAAATCAAAGAAAGAAAGCTTCAACTCACTACTTCTTTTGCTGCTGCTCTCCCTCCCTACCTCTCCAAAACATTACCAGACGTAAAGAAATAAGTCAAAAGTTTGAAAAGTTTATGTCTGATAGATTATTCTCAGGGTCTACATAAAGATAATTTACACACAATTTATCACATTAACCCTTAGCATCATATGCATATATCATCATGCATTTTTACTCATGAGGTCTAAGTGATATCAATTTAAACATGACTTTTAAACCAACTTTTATAACTTAAAAGTTACTCTCTACAATATCTCAAAGTTTGCATATGATTTCTATATTGGAAACAGCACTGATGTGAAATTAGGACATAAAGGCTCTGCTTTAAACCCTGTTATCACCAAGCTATGTCACTTTGACCAATACCTAATCTCCGGTTCTCAGTTGACTCACATCTGTGAAATTAATATATTATGCTGGAAGATTTATCTGATGCCCCTTGCTCCTCTTTAATCTTACAACTCTAATCTTTTATATGCTAATGAAATCACCTACTGGTAAATCTTATGAGGTGGAAAATACCCTCTAACATGCAAAGATCCTTCTGGAATATACAGATGAAATGTAGCCATTCACAGGTAACCAAGAAGAAATAATGAATCATGTTGCTAACTACCTATTGGGATTTTTATATGTAATATAGCATAATATAATGCAATGTAAACATAACATAATGTAACATAACACACATAACACATACACAGGTATATTTATAAATATGGATGGATGTATCTCAGCCAGATAGCTCTAGGCTATAGAAAATACCAGAAAGATTGATACACATCTGAAAAGATTGCAACATTGCTTTTATATTTTATGATCCCTGTGTCATGGAATAAGAGGGTTTTTATATATAATAGTTGGCAATCAAGAATTGCATTCAAACATCATTCTGCTTTCCCTCAGGAGTTCACAAATAGAAAAATTCCATTACCTTTCCTATGCTGATATCTGGCTGCAGAAAGCGAAGGCAGTCTGAATAATTGGCATATGTTTTATTTAAGCTGTGCATAAAATCCCATGTTCCATTGGGGTTACAGTGTCGGAAAGCAACTCCTGTAAAGACATGAAAGATGCTGAGATCACTCAGTTGCCTTAGAATCAATTATCAAAATATAATGACAAGTAAATGTTTGTTTCAAATTAATCATTTCAGAAAAAGTCAATACCTTTATGGTTGAAGTCATAAATATAAGGAGGACACGGAACAGCTGATATTTTCCCCACTGTTCCTCTGGGCCAACAAATGAGTCCATCCCATTCAGGGAAACAATTACCTTCTAATGAAGAAAAAAAAAAAGTTAAACAAAAAGGTAGTTGAAACCAGAGAACAAATGCATTCAAAATGCAAAATTTCAGGTCATTGCCTATAGCAAAATTAAAACAAATTGGTAGTTTTAGAAACTAGATAGGATAGATGCGATGCAAATGTCCCAAAATTCATCTCTGTGGCTTCATCAAAGGTCCATTTGTAGGAACATTTGCTTTGCACACAAATTATTCCAGCATACTAGTTATGAAAGCTATAGCAATTAATTTATAAGAAACAATGGAAATCATTGTGAACAACTTCTGTAGTCAGGCTCTTCTGACCACCATAGTTGTAGCTACATTTTTACACTCAATTCTTGAAAACTGTTTTTAAAGAACATAACACCTGAAACAGTGCCCCTCACTGTTAAGTCCCAAGACTCAGTTTTCTCTTTTTGCCAATACTTTTAGCAATTTCCTTGAGTCTAGCATTCATCTCAAACAAAATTCTCATAAACTCTACTCTTCTCAAGATGAATCCAGAACTTCATCACTTCTCACAACCGCCACTGCCACCATGATAGTCCAAGCCACTTCAGGTCCAACCTGAATGAGTGCGACAGCCTATGACTGGTTCTCCTGATTCCAACATTTCTTTCTGCAGCACAATTTTCTGGGTGGCATTGAAGAACCTGATTCTCCCTGCCCCTCTTTCTTGTAGTTCTCAAGAATAACTATAGAATGTGCTGTAAATGCAACATGCTGAGATAAGGGCTGGAGAACAGCCTGGAACAGTCCAGGCTGTGTTCCAGACCCTCCCAGAAACAGGATATCTCCAGACATTAGCCCAGTGCACCGTGTATTCCCTGAGGTATATAACCAGGGTTGGGCTGTTTGATGGGGTCCCTCCGCTGTGATGTATGCAGCTCATGAGCAGCTGAGATTCCATCCAGCCCAGGCAGCTTTCCCGAGCCATGGGGACCAGTTGCCAATGACTCCTAGGCTTCTGGTTTTCCTTGCTGCCTACCTGTGGGTAATCAACCCTTTTCATATAACTTGCACGCTGAGTATTTTGCCTCGCTGGACTCAGGCAAGTTGGTAACTAGTGCACAGTGAATCTACTTCACACTTCCTTTTCTTTATTTTTGACATAATCACCCCAAATCCTTCAACAGCTCCCCATCTCAAAACATAAGTTTTTATAATACCTGAGGTATCCATAAGATCTGCCCTCTCCCTCAGACAGGCTTATTCCCTTACCTCCTTCATATTTTTACTCAAATGTCAATTTCCGAGTAAACACTCTCATCTAAAATTGCATCCCAAAATGTTCCTTATACCTTTTCCTGCTGTATTTTTCCCCTGAGTTCTCATTTCCTACCAATACTGGGTGTTACTTTATCATTCCTAAGTCACAGGATTTAAGAAACCTGAAGGTAGAGATTTTTATCTGTTTTGTCTCAAGCTTTAGCCATGTTCCTAAAATGCACCTGGCACTTGGTAGAGGATTAACAAATATTCAGTGACAGTTCTCTGTGCTCTTCAGGACTCCTTTTGGTTAGTGATGAGCTAAACTTCCAAGAAGACAGCCTCTCAGCCAAATTATACCCCAACTTCCCAAAAAGAGATACCTTCAATGACTACTGTATTAGTTTTCTATCACTACTATAACAAATTGCCACAAATGTCACAGCTTAAAATGACAGAAATTTGTTTTCTCACTATTTCTGTAGGTCAGAAGTCTGCTGGGCTCAGCTGTTTGTCTGCTTGTAGACCCGTGAGACCAAAATCAAGGGCTGGGCAGGGCTGTATTCCTCTCTGGAGGTTCTGAGGTAGTATCTGTTTCCTGGCTCATTTGGGTGGATGGGAGAATTCAGCTCCTTGCAGACATAGAACCAAGGTTCCTATTTCCTTGCTGTAAGCTGTCAGCTGAGAACTGTTTCCAATGTCCAGAACCTACTTGCTTTCCTTGGCTCATGGCCCCCTTCTCCTGTCTTCAAATTAATCAAGGCAGATTGAGTCCTTCTCACATTTTTAATATCTCCTCCTCTCTCATTTTCTGCTGCAACTCTGATTCTTTTGCCTTCCTCTTCCACTTTAAAAGGCCCATATGATCACATGGAACCCACCCAGATAATCCAGAATAAGCCCCCCCATTTTAAGGTCCATAACCTTAATTCTGTCAGCAAAGTCCCTTCTGCCATGTGGCACAACATACACAGGTATGACAGCAGGTATTAGGGCATGGACGTCCTGGGAGGGCCATCATTCTGCCACCACAAGTTCCCATTATAGCTCTCTCAATTTTTTAGTTGCCAGTTACACTAACTGTGCTGAGGATTATTGTTCTGGCTAATGTTCATGTTGTCAAGTTGTTTGTGCAGTTTTGAATAGTCAGCATAATAGAACCTCACAGAAACACTGATCTCTACAGAAAAAAAATTCAATTATGAACCTGAAATTAACTTATTAGTGTCCACCATATCACACAGAAACAAATGCTTGATTTGCTATGTGCATTACCAAGCAATAAGAAAAGAAAATTTCTTTCCAAGAACATTTTCATAGAAAAAGCCTTGCTTTGCTCACATAATAAAAGCCAGAGCTTTACATATCACAGGCAAGGCAGGAATCCATTCCACTGGTGCCTGCTTCTGGTGCACAGTTCCACCTGTCTCTCTTTCCACCATTATCTGCTTTGTTGTTTTCCTTCTCATATACAGAATGTAATGACTCCACCTCTCCCAACAACTTTGCCCTAAACCCTACATCTTGATATCTTTCAATTAGCCTTTTAACAAGTCACATGTCTTTATATATCTGGACTGGCCAGTAGATATGTGTCCAGTATCTATTGTATAATCTACATAAATTGGACCTGGACACACATTCTTGTTCCTTGGTAACTAGATTTCCCTCCAGAATGTATGCTGCCATGTCATGTGCTATTTTCTAGCAAAAGCCAATGGCCCATTTATTCTATAATTACATAGTGTTAAAACTGCTATGGAAATTTTTTTCTTCATGCTCTAAAAGGGAGAGTTTTCTAGTTCCCTACAAGATACCATCTCACACATGTACACACATGGACATACTGCCCAAACTTTAGAGAACAGACACTCCTCCAAAGTATTTCTGTAGATCATGCTTATTTTTCTGGTTGCTCTTTGACAAAGAGAATAGTAAATATTCACAAAAGGTCAAAAAAAATTGAAGAAGCCATGAACCTCACATAGAAAATAGAGTTTTTGGGGGGCAGTGCGAAGATGGCCGAGAGGAGGCAACACCGGAATGCAGCTCCCAGCAAATGAGAAGCAGAGGGCTAGAGGACTTCACGATTCCAAGTGAGGTGCCAAGTTCATTTTAGGGGGACTGGAAGGACTCTGAAAGTAGCCCAGAGAGGGAGCCAAAGCAGGGCAAGAGCCACCCAGGGAGAACGAACCAAGACGGGGTGGGGTGTGTCCCCACCTGGAACATGCAGCCAGCTCAGAGCGTCAAGGGACTTCACCCCCTCAGTGTTCCAATTTGGATCCTGTGCTTACCTCATCCCTCCTGCAACCCACAGTCCACGAGAGCCCCACCAGACTGAGGGGCACCGTGGGTTGTCGATGCAAATCTGAGCAAGCACTCCCTTCTTGTGCCGCAAGTTGTTGGTGGGACCTGGGCGGAGGTTTAGACTAGCGCCAGCAGGATGGAACAACCCATCCCATAGAAAGAGGCAGAGTTGAAAGCAGGGAAACAGGTCATAAGGCCTGGCAGTTCCCCCACGCACACACAAAACTCAAACTGAAGACCACATGCCAGAGAGCTTGGCAGTAAATACATGAATATGACCCCAATCAGGCAGATTGAGCTCAGGGAAGGAAAGATGCCATTGGGAAGGTGGGGGTAATTTCACCTGCAAACAAACCCCAAGGGAAGACCACCCACCCAGCAACCTGCCTGAATCCGAGGCAGCCCAGCATTGCCTCTATGGGCCAAAAAAGGTATAGCTCCAACTGCAACAGAAAGGACATCACTCAGAGATTTCTCCCAAAATCACCAACTTCAAAGATCAAAGGGAGATAAATCCACAAAGATGGGAAAAAAAACAGCATAGAAAGGATAAAACCATCAAAGATCAGAACACCTCTTCCCCTCCCAGGGATCACAATTCCTCACCCTCAAGGGAACAAAACAAGACAGAAAATGAGTGTGATGAATTGACAGAAGCAGCCTTCAGAAGTGGATAATAACAAACTTCTCAGAGTTAAAAGACCATGTTCTAACCCAAGTCAAAGAAACAAAGAACACTGAAAAAGGTTAGACAAAATGCTAACTAGAATAACCAGCTTAGATAAGAACATAAATGACTTGATGGAGCTGAAAAACACAGCACAAGAACTTTGTGACGCATGCACAAGTTTCAACAGCTGAATCGATCAAGCAGAAGAAAGGATATCAGAGATAGAAGATCAAATCAATGAAATAAAACAAGAAGGCAAGATTAGAGAAAAAAGAGTGAAAAGAAATGAACAAAGCCTCCAAGAAATATGAGATTATGTGAAAAGACCTAATCTACGCTTGATCGGCGTACCTGAATGTGACAGGGAGAATGAATCCAACCTGGAAAACACTCTTGTGGCTATTATCCAAGAGAACTTCCCCAACCTAACAAGGCAGGCCAACAGTCAAATCCAGGAAATACAGAGAACACCACAAAGATATTCCTCAAGGAGAGCAACCCCAAGGCACATTGTCGTCAGATTCACCAAGGTTGAAAAGAATGAAAAAATCCTAAGCACGGCCAGAGAGAAAGGTCAAGTTACCCACAAAGGAAAGACCATCAGACTCACAGCAGATCTCTCAGCAGAAACTCTACAAGCTAGAAGGGAGTGGGAGCCAATATTCAACATCCTTAAAGAAAATAACTTTCAACCCAGAATTTCATATCTGGCCAAACTAGGCTTCATAAGGGAAGGAGAAATAAAATCCTTTACAGACAAGCAATTGCTGAGAGAGATCGTCACTATAAGACCTGCCTTACAAG